CATGATCAAGTGGCATTTGTTGCATAATTGTGATTCATTTGAATCAATTCAATCCCTAATTTACTTACCAAACACTTAAAAAACACTTTCATTAATGCAAAAAGTAAGAAATTATAGGCCACCACTAGCACCAAAGTCTCCACCTAAACCTGCTCCACCACCTATACCACCACTTCCTCCACCATCAGCACCAAAGCCTCCACCTAAACCAGCTCCACCGCCACCAAATCCACCACCTCCATCTGCACCTCCTTCCAATCCTCCACCAGCACCAGCATCAAAAGTGACAATAAGATTTGTTTTTTCAATCAAAATTCATCAATTAATTTAATTTAAACCCCATCTAGAAAAAAACGTCACAAGAAAAGCAACTCACAAAGATCAAACTGTTGCAAAGCAAAAACCTTGATACTCTCAGGCAATTCCCTAGTCCCTCCATTCGCATACCGATCGTCCAAAAGTAGCAACCTGGTCAAGCGTTCCATTTTTCGCCTTAAATTCCTCCGCTAACAAACTACTTAAATCATCCCCTCCATTGTCTTCTTCCTCTGTAACCACCTCCAACAGTCCCATCTCATTCCTGCCAACCCCTCTTTTTCTCCCTCTTATCACCATTATCACTATCCACTTCAAGCTTTTTTCTCTTCTTTTCGGCTTAGAAATTTTTGCCAAGTTCCTAAACTTCTCATACCCTCTTGAATTAAACCTCCTCCCCACAGCCTCCAGCAGCGTCAGATCATATATGTATTGTTCGAACGCCTGCGAACCGAACACTTTGGACATCGTCGACATCTGAGGCACCATCTTCGGCCATGACTCTGTCCTGCTGCTCCAGTACCTACCATAAAATCAAATTTGTTAATTGTTGAGTTAAATCGAAATTGTAAGAAAAATATAGACATAGATAGAGAGTTACTGGGGTGTGCATCTTCCTCTTGCTCTGGTGTAGAGAAACCCTGGTGCTCGTTGTTGAGAAGAAGACGATTTTGTATTAAATTAATCATAAAGAGGTAGCGGAGCTCGATGATTTTATGGTGGAGGGTTTCACGGTGGAGGGTTTCGTGGCTACTGGCTAGTGTTGGGGATGATGATTTGGAGCTTCTGGAGCGTATTAATTACGGGGGTTAAAGATTAAAATTAGTTTTAGAGTATTATTCTAATTTGTTAGTTTTGGAGGGTATTTGGCCTAATTAACCCAAAATTATTTATTTTCAAGGGAGGATCATTTGAGCCCAATAGCATAGCCCATAATTTCGGCTGTTTTTTGTAAATTTTCTAGAGATTTTTGGGTCGTAAAACCCTAAACATCGGCCCAATTTAAGAAGCCCCTGCCGAATAACATTTGTGATGGTTAATTTCAATAATGGACATTGAACTCTTTACTCAGTGTTACCTTTAGACATTGAACTTCTCATCAATATTTCAGTCACACCACTATTTTAGCTTGTGGTCTATTTTTTAACAGAATATAATCCTACAAGAACTAACGGTGTGACGACTTGGTGCATGACACTTGAGGTTTTGACGAAACGGCACTGTGGTTTATTTATTTATTACTGTAAACTATCATTTTCAATTTGTCGTTATGTCATAGCACTAAAGTATTTTAGATGTTCGTTGTAGCATTCCAACCTCGTGATGTGCTAAAACAAGAAAAAAATGAGAAATTTTTGTTAGAGAAGTTAGAGAATCATATTCTTTCGTAATCCTTGCCTTCACAAAATCACAAGTCAAGCTTTCTTCTAAACAGGGACGGATGTAAGGGACCAGACTGTAGCTCGGTCCAGTCCTCGGTCCATTGAATTTTTTTAGGTAGAAAAAAAAAATTATGTAAAAAAAAAATAAAAAATTCATGTGTAATTTTATTTTTAGTGGAAATTACGCTAATCCCTACTTTAAATATTCAACATTCTAAAATCAGGTGAGGAGTTTAACATTTCAAAAATCAGATGCTTTATTTTAATTAATATTTTTATA